TCGCGTCTTGATCTAATTAACACAGCACAGACGAAGATGCAGGACGCTGTCATTGGCATTACTCATATCATTCAAGGTCTCAACCAGTTGAACCTCACACGCTTTCTGCCACAGTCCGGGGTAACAGTAATTATCCCTGCTGCTGTAGCCCACCTGACGAACTCGTTGTCCGGTAGCCCCTCAACGCGAGAATCCAGCATCCACCACTTCCAGCGCTGCATCCAAGTCTTGCAAGGGCTCAAAGACATCTATCCCGCAGCAGACATGGAAGTAGCTAACATCGAAGCTGCGGTCAAGGTTCAATCTGACTGCAATAACGCTCTCTTACAAATCATGCAACTTGACTCTCCTTCATCTCCGAACACCATGCAGCAACCTCAGGCGCGGAAACCAAGTGCTGCCTCTACCTCCCGAACTATGCTTTCAGCGGATGGGAAAAATCCCAGTCAATGGACCCCCCCTCGAGACGACCAGGAACTAACCGACTCCGCGACCTTGAACCTGAAACAATCCGACCTTAGGACCGCCGGCCCCTTCCGAGCCCGCCGCGACAGCAGTCTCACAGCATCACCCGCCACCGCAGCCTCTCTCAACGCCAACCCTCCATCCTTACACAAAGCTCAACCCACCCCGCCACACGATTTCGATGACCCCTTTAGTCATGTTTTCCACGATCATAATCCTGTCTCACCCCGCCAACAAAACCCCCAACCCGACCATCAAGGCCAGTCGCACGACAATTCGACCCTAGACCCTACGGACTTTTTCTTCGACCTTGACCTCGACCTCGACAATTATGATGCTGACTTTCCCTCCCAAGAAGGCCATGGCTCGACCGCTACGGCAGCAGCAGCAGCCGACCACACCGCCGCCGCCGACATGGACATCGACTGGGCGAACGAGCTTCTCCGCTGGGTTGACCCCGGACAAAGTCAGAGCCGTGAGCTGAGGTCCGATGACCATGATCGCAACGACCTCTTCGGGATATTTGACCCCGAAAGCGATAGTGGCAACGTGCAGCAGCACGAAATAACGGCCACCAGGTTCACTCCTAGCAATATTACAGGTGATCTAGACCGGGATCTAGGGTTGACTGAAGAAGAGGATGGCATGTTTTGATGTTGAGGATCATGGCGACCAGCAACGGCAAAAAGCGACATATCAGTCCAACACCTACTGTACAGACGAAGCATCAACTTTGGAGGATAAAAACAGTAAAATTGCACATATAACAGGTTTATCCCCATGTATGTATGTCTTCGTCCTTCTATTTCTCTACTTCGTACAGTCATAAAACAAAACCCAAGCACTAAATCTGGAACGAGACCTGCGATCGTAAGGTAGTGAGTAAGATAGGTAGCTTGGGAGACTCGCTTCGCTAGGGTGGAATTCAGCAATGGTTAGGGAGTAGGCGGGAGGCCTGCGTAGGCGTAGGTTTAACAAACCCGAAAGCGTCAGGAAAGCTGTTGACACTATTCCTTCTGCGTCCACCGATTCTTCTCATCTCCCTTCTCCCATTCATGCTCGATATACCCGAGCTTCTTCTTGACGCTCTGCACGGTTGCCTTGTCGCCCGTATTTTTGCCCATGTTATCACTGAGTTTGACGGCGGGCCGGCCGTTGGCGGTGGAGATCTTGATGACGATGTTCAGGGGCTTCGATTTCTCTCCGTCAGATTTGTTGGTGAAATCATCTGTTTTGGTGTCCCCGGAGTAGAGTCAAGTCAGTTCTTTGGCTTCCAATGGTTTTTCTTATTATTGGAAATGGTTGAGTGAGGAAGGCAAGGTGGTAGGATGGATGGGATGGAAAACGTACTTGTGAAAAAAGTGCCCACGCCGAAAACGGGCTGGAAGCCGGCTTCCTCGGCAATGACCTTGTACTCGACGCAGTGCTCGATGTCTAGGGAGTCCGAGAACACAACCGTCTTGGGCTCCTTGATTCCCTCCTGGTCGTAGAATTCCCGGACCATCTTCACAAAGTAGGTGGGATCTCCGGAATCCTGGCGCACACCGGTGTAGACCTGGGCGTAGGTCTTGGTGGGATGCTCGCCCTGGGAGTCTTGCAAGGGAGCAGAGATGGGAGGCGTTGTGCGTGCCTCGCTTTGGATGGTGGATTGGACCGTCGTGCCGGGCCCGGAGGCAGTTGTGCTGACGGCGCCCACGCCGGCGCTGGTGTAGGCGGGGATAGGTTTGCGGAACGCATCGAGGAAAGCCGGGGTGCCGAAAGTGTCGGTCAAGGCGATGCCCAGAACCTGGTTTTTAGTTAGAGCATAGAACGCGCTGATTAGGCCAATTCTGCCAGAGGGTGGATGCGGGGGGCACGTACTCCTTCGCCGAAGCAACCAAGCCAATACCGGAGAGCCATCTCGTTGGCGTTCTCATAGTCGTCCGTGATGGCAGCGATGGTCATGTACCATTCGTGAGCGACAGTGCCCACAGGGGTCACATCGTACTTCATGGCGAAATGGACATTGCTCGTGCCCGTGAGCGCACCCTTCCAGCCATGCTTTTTGCCCTCTTCCGCGGCGCGAGATAGTCCCTTCATGACCAGGTCTTGCGTGTGATAGTCGCGCCGTCTTCGGGATCCGAACTCGGAGAAGATGCACCCGTGCTCTAACAAGGTGCAGCCCTTCCGGAACGCCTTCTCCTCCTGGCAGCTGTAGTCCCAGTCCTTATCGGTGAACATGAAGTACGCTTGGCTGGTCAGGGCCAGCAACGGGATCTCGTAGAGGATGGTGTCCACCCAGAGACCCTTGATAACATAGTCGACATCGCCCTTGTCTTCGTCACTGCCAGTGTCGCCCTCCCCTGGGGAAAAGTGGATCTCGACCTGCTCCGAGGGCTTGAGTTTGAATGTGGTCAGGAAGTGTAGGTAGGCATCGTTGAAGTAGGGGCATTTCTTCTTCAGGAATTCGATCTCGTCGCTTGTAACTTGAATGTTCCCGAGCTCTGAACAGAGATAATCTACGGTTAGTCAGGTCGAGAATTATCGATTCCCTTGTGCCAACTTACTGTCCAGCTGCGCAAGAAGCCATTTGTAAGCACCCCGCGTCAGCTTCATATTGGCAGTGCGGTTCGTGAAGCCATAGGTGACATCTGCGCGTTGGTTTGACCGGTCAACAAAATCTGTGCGCCCAGCAAGCTCTGATCCGAGGCTGCTTACGAGTATCGGGGAAGTATTTGAGGATGGCGCATTGCATCGTCAACTTGTACAAGTCTGTGTCAAGCAGCGAGCAAATGCCCTCCGGGGGCGGAGGGGATACTTCTTGTGTCATGATTGGGATTGCACGGTCGAAACCTGGTACAATGCAGAAATATAGGAGACAATTTGGAGGTAGCGATACTCTCCCTGAGAGAATCTCAAGCTACTCAAGAGTGCACGAGGTTGGAAACCCCCCAAGGGAGTTGCTTTGCTGCGCGGGGAGATCAACGAAAAGATAGTGTTTGGTTTGTTTGCACACTGAGGGGCTTCCGTCATCCGCGGGCGACGTCATCCAATCTTCTTTACTTCCCATCCAACCACGGGCCACAACTGAATGAATGTGGTTAATCTTTTCTGTTGGCACTCGACTCAAGCCTTGAACAGAGGTCTCAATCGCGCGGGAATCATGGCTGCCTTGCGTGGCCCACATCTACCGAAGGCGTCATCTCGGCCTAGACTGCCTTTTGCGTCTATCGCCGGGATGCAGACTACCACATATTTACCGAGTATCTGCCTTCCATTGCATAACGAGCCTGTCCTAAACTGTTGATTCCAAAAGGAGACATTATCACCGAGGTGCTACCTGCAACTAGTGAAGTGATCTCGCTTCGAGTCCTTTGTTTTCATGTTTTCACTCCGATAACTGCCCGGTCATCGGTAGAGATAACTGCCTAGATCAACAAATCCTCGCAAATCGATAACACTGCTCGGCCCCACCGTGCGAAGATCGCTAGCGGCGCTGTCAACTGTCTCGATTTGCGGCGGATGCACAACATAGGACTCAGTAGCACTCGCAGTCGCCTGAAAGTGAACCCATCGGTAAGCAATGAGACTAGCACGGCTATACCTTTCTTCCGATTGACTGTCTGAAAGAAAAAATTAACACTTTCACATGCTTCGGGGAGTAATGGAAATGGCAAGGATTATCCTTGTCTGTAGCTGAGTCTTGCTTACCGCAGACGCATCTTGCATTGGCAAGCATACCCCGGGTCTGCAGGACATTACTCGTTCATTCCCGACTACACTGCCATTGGCATATAGAAGAGAAGCACGGGCACTGGACAGGCCTCAAGACGGAATGATTCAATCCAGATTCTTTGACTTTGAAGGGCTCGATGCCAATTGACCTCGAGTTCTGGCGCGAAACTATTTTGAAAACTGAAATGCGAGTGGAAAGAACGCACTTCTCGATCTCCCATCGTGATCTGGGCCTGTGATGGTCTTCGTGAGAGATTAACTTGCTAGAAGTGATGTATCGAAGCTCAGAATGACTTGTGTCCTGAAAGATCACAACTCAAAGGCCCGGCAATAGTATACGAAATAAACTTCTCGAGGTTAAGCAGCAGCTGAGACTGCAACTTTCAAAGACTATTCATCAAAAGGGACCTCAAATCCTCCAGCGCAGAGTCATGTCTATACATAACGCTTCTCCTTGAGTGACCCTGGGAAATGATATGTGACTCCTATGTTCGCCAGTGTCACTGGGTTCAAGCTAGACCATCCTACGTATGCATAGACAAAGTCTAGGCCCATTAGCCGACATGATCTTCTCCAATCTACACGCTGAGTTTAGCTGTCCTTGGCCAGGTGCAACTCTACACAAGTTTCTGTGATCCTGGTTGCCATACTTCGGCCTATCCATTTGAACCCTGAATCTTGCCTTGATAACACAAAGATCGTTAGAGTCCATGAGAGGACGCCACATTTACTGCTATCTATAACTAGACAAGCATCTCTTGTTTATGGATGTGGCGAGCCGGCGGCAATCGATCAACAGACATAAGATATAGGCACCTAATATGTCCCTCGTCGTGTTGTCCCTTCTAGTCATCGATTACTACATCCTGAGAAGCCTTTATCGCCTCTATTTTCACCCGCTCAGCAAGATCCCGGGACCTCCAGTAGCAGCGATGGCCTCCATGAGTTCTATCACGACGTCGTTCGAGGTGGAAAGTTCTTCTGGAAGATCGAAGAGATGCATAAGAGATATGGTATACCGAGTTTGAAGTCCTTGCTCGCATGAGCTCTCTTGTTGAAGAGAACTAGGTCCCATTGTGCGGATAAACCCTCGAGAAGTCCATATCATCGATCCCGCCATGTACGATGAGATCTACGCCGGTAACAGTCGCAAGCGGAACAAGGACCCGGTCTTTGTCTCCTCCTTTGCGTCCCCATTCTTGGTCATAGCAACGATCGATCATGATCTTCACCGCGCGAGACGAAGTTTGTTGAATCCCTTCTTCTCGAAGAAAGCGGTAACGGAGCTCTCCACGGTCATCCAAGAGAAAATCACCCGGCTATCATGGCATCTGGAGAGATTCTATGTAGACGAAACGGTGAGTGCACTGCACACGGTCTTCGTCGGTCTGACAGGGGACACCATCACCCATTACTTGTACGGCCAAGACAAGGGCTACCTATCTGATCCAGATCTTACCAAACGTGACTTCATCTGGGAGCTGATGTTTGAAGGCACCAACTCATGTCATTTGTTTCGATTTCTCCCCAGCATTCCTCAACTGATCAAGGCTCTGCCTGGCCGTTGGATGCGACTCACCCGTTTTAAACTAGCCCAAGTCTATGCAACGCAAGAGCAGATCGCACAGCAGTCACGGGACGCCAGCACCGTAGGCTCGATATATCAGGCCCTGACTGACCCGTCTCTGCCGCCCGAGGACCGCTCCCTGGCCCGTCTTCGTGAGAGAGCTTCATACTCCTCGTCGCCGGTACCGAAACCACGGCTTCATCGTTGACCTTTGCCGTCTACCAACTCCTACGCGACAGAGGAATGTTCCTCAAAGTCCGCCAGGAACTGAAACAGGCCATGCCTACCCCACGCCACGAACCCAAATGGTCTCAACTGGAGCAATTGCCTTATCTGGTAACTCCCTGAGCACCTGACGCCTGCACACCTCCGTCTCGGCCACATAGGTTCCAAATTTCTAACGGCTATACCACCATAGACAGCCATCATAAACGAAGCCCTCCGGCTCAGTGAAACGCCATGCGACCAGTTCGAGTAGCCCCATCCGAGTCCTTGCAGTACAAACAATACACAATTCTTCCTGGTGTACGTTATTCCCCGCACCTTCTTTAACCCCCGAAAACCCAACCTCACAATGAAGCCCCCCATCAGCACAATCAGCTACTTCATCCACCGCAACCCCCAGCTCTTCCCCGACCCAAACACCTTCCGCCCCGAGCGCTGGATCGAAGCCGCCTCGCGGGGCGAGAATCTCACCAGGTATCTAGTCCCCTTCGCCGGGGGCAGCAGGATCTGTATCGGGATGAAGTGAGTGGGATCCATCCCATCAACTTTCTTTATGCCCTCCCTTCATTGGAAAGCTTGTCCCATACTATCCTACTTGGGCGTCAGGCCCAGAAGCCAAGCCAAGCAGTCCTTCCTCGCACACAGGGCTAACACAGATCCCGAAACTTCGTTTACCGGATAAAAAACAGTCTGGCCTACGCGGAATTGTACATGACTATTGCATCGATCGTGAGGCGGTTCGATCTCGAGCTCTGCGATACGAACCCCGAGGATATGGAATTCGTCCGGGAGAAGATCCTGCAGCGGCCGGAAAAAGGGGTCTGGACGTTGAAGGCGAGGGTCGTAGGGATTGTTTTGGAGTGAAGGCGCTGAGGGTTTATTTCGTGGGCTAGTGGTGGATTTGCCCCGGGGAGATTCAACTTCCTATTTCCTTGCTTATCAATTATTTGATGATGTCCCGGCAGGCTCCAATTGAGCATGGTGATTGAATTTGTCACAATTAGTTTACACTCATCTACCCTAAGAAGTCGGGAGACTATGGGTGCGTATGCGTGACGACGTATTCATTATGGATTGGATGGAAACGAATTTTGGTAGGAACTCCTGACACCGGGCCCCATGATGCATAAATGTTACAAAGGCCAAGAGTAAGGGACTGTTCCGGATGTCTCTAATACTGCCTGTCATGGCCTTTCTCCTTATTCCCACGAAGACAAATAAGGCAGGCGGCAAAGGTACTGCCCCAATCGTTAAATAAGATCGAGCCAGATCAGACATAAATAAGATATACAAATACATTTCCTTTCGAGGTGCCTATCTCATCAATCCCCCTCCTTTTCCTACTGATCACTCAACTAAATCGACCCGAGTCCCCCGAAACTCACGCCTCGGGCCAATCCCAGCCGCAGAACCCGCATAATATCCTCACCCGTGACATCATCCGGTAGGCCAGCACGCCAATCCCAGCCTCGGTCGTGAGGTGCAGCAGCGCCTTTCTCTGCGTTCAACCGGGGCACAAGCACACCCGAGCTACCGGCTGAGCCGGAGCCTGAGAGCGTGCGTGCTGATCCCACCATCTCGCTACCAATGAAGGAGAAGGTGCTAGAAGCATTGAGAGCGGAGACGGACTTTTTCAGCATGGCGCGCGGCGATGAAGGCAGGATGTAAGAGTCGGTTGATGAGGATGCATTTGCGTTCTTAGAGGATTGATATTCAATCAAGGTGGAGCGGAAACATTCTTCGCACTGGGCGTAAACGCGAGGAGTGACAGTTTGGAGGTCCTCGATTGCGGAGAGAATGGTGAATTGCTGAGAGACTGAGAGGATGGGGGTTGGTTCTGAAGCCGGTCAGAGTCTACACAAAGTCTACAGCAACACGATTGTAAAATGGAAAGAACTCACGGTCAACAAACGGGAGGACCTCGCCCAATAGCGTCAAGAGGCCATCGACTTGGACGGCGGAGTCACGGTCTGGATCGTACAGGCCGCCATAGATACTGTCTGCGGCGCTGCTGATGACTGCCACAAGAGCCTGGGCTGCCGCACGCCGTCTAGCAAGAGGCTTGTAACGAGGTTGTTGACCTTCTTTCAGGTTCACGGCCTCGTCGCGGATTTCGTAGTAGCGGCGTAAAGTTGCGTATCCAGAAAAGTAGTATTGCAGGATACTGGCTGCATCTTCGTCGGATCCTGCAATGGCAGCCAGACAACGACCAGGGTCTCGAATCAAAGACTCGAGCTGCTCGTCAAGGTCATTCGACGCAGGATAAGCGCGAGACTGCACAAGACTGTATGAAATAAGCAGGTCAACCACGGACTTGACCTTACGGCGGTTATGTGCGCGCGCATAGCACAGGAGAGCGAGACCGTAGTCCTCTGAATCAGCAACGGTAGCATCACCGAAACGCTGGTCGAATTAGCAGCTGGTTGATGAAACGGATAAGATAGGAGAACTAACCTCTGAAACCTTCCGCCCTTCATTGTCAAGATCAAGCTCGGAACAAAGCATAACCACCTTATCAACTTCCTCCGCCGTGTTGAGCGGCAATCTTTCCAGCAGTTCCGAAACACTCTTTTGCAACTTTCCCCTGTCGTCCAAGCGACTCAGAACCTCGAGAGCTACCTCCCAACCGTTGCGAGTACCATCTTGGCATTCAATTGACTGTCGTTCAAAAAGGCCAGATGCATAGGCACTGATTACATCGTTCTTGTTCACACGAGGGCCGGTCGTTTCAGTGCCTTGGCCTTGACCATACGACAAAACTATCAGATCGTCCTCGCTCAAGCCAGGTATAGATTTCGATTTGGTGACTCTAGAATTCAGCCAGCCCCCAACAGACGCGACCTCGACTACGGCACATGAAACACACAGTGACCATGTCTGAAGCAGCTCAATCACACCTTCCACGTTGCCCTCGAAGACAGAAGCCAGCCCAATTTCGAGACTGCTAAGTGAATTGACGCGGAAACTAGCATCATCGCCTTCCGCGCTTGTGGCGTGACCGAAAGCTAGATCGAGTCGACGCAAATAGGAATCTTGCGCACTGGTAGGAGACGTGTTCCTTGCTGGGCGAGAGAATAAAGGGTTGAGGCTGGTGGGCGGAAGGTCACTAGGGACCTCGTCATCATCGTCACCACCCCACCACACGGTCATGCAGATGGTGGCTTCGAGCCAGTCTTGTGAGTTCTCCATGATAGCATCTTCGTCACCGAGCAGAATACGATACATGGACCGAAGATTTTGATAGATCGCCCAGGGTACTTTGCTTTCAGCCATGCGTGCAGATTGGGTGAAGGAAATCGTTTGCGCGGGAGCAGTCGCCTTCAGCCCAAAGTTGACAGCTTGGAAGCGGTTTTCTTGAACAGGGGGTTCTGGCGACGCCTTGTCCTCGCCTTCAGCGAAATCCTCCAGGTCTGTTACTGCCGCCAAAACCCGTCTTCTGAACAAAGCCCATTCGGTACCCTTGACATCCCAATCATCGCGCGAGACACCAGGACATGACTCGAGGATTTGAAGAGCCTTGTTGACGCATCGCTGAATATTCTGCAGCTGTGTTCCGCGATATCCCGCCTGTGGTAGGCCATCTTCTAACGCTGATCTTGCGTAGTTGAAATCGGCAGATCGCAAAAGTTCAACGGCTGTCGAGAGGCTACCCCGGAGAACAGCAGCATTGAGCAAGTCCCAGAAGCTTGATGATGCAGTAGGATTGGGTTCAAACGCCTTCAAGACTTGCAACTCCGACGCAGGAGGGATGTGGTTGGCATCGAGCCAGTCAATGAGAAGTCTGGGGATAGGTGTCGGTGATGTTGTGCGAGGACCACCCAGTAATAGATTGCGCGTTGCGAAGGGGTTTACCTGGCCGGGTCGATCAAATGGCCGAGGGGGGTGATGCAGCTGTAGAAGGAGTGAAGCCAAGAAACTTGCCTTGGCGATATTTGAAGCTTGCTCACCCGGCCCAATGCCGTCTGACTCTTGGTAGGGACCATTCTGTCCTGTAGCTGTCTTCCACACATTTGCAAGTCGACTGCAAACATCCGAGAGGGCCGCGCGGAAGTCCGTGCCATTAATGTCGGCTTTCTTGACTTCGTCATACATGCGGCAAAGCTCGTCCTCCGTGCTCATAACAAAGTCACTCGACTCATCCACCGTAGTCAGCCGCGAGCGAGCTAAGTTGCGAACTATAGATGGCATTGCCGAGTCTTTCTTCGGTGACAACTTTCCCTTGCGCAGAGGCGCTTGACCCGCCCAACGCTCATCGAGCTTCGGACGCTTGGCGCTGCCTGGGTTTGAGTAGATAGACTTGCGATGACCAAGCGAGACAGGCTGCGGAGCGATGGAGTCTCCGAGCTGAGAATCCAAGAAGCTGAAGCGGCCCCCAGCGTTCTTGTTCGCCTTACCCACACCCAGGCTGATTCCCGTCTTGTCCACTACCTCATCCTCTGTCTCAGTCAGGATATCGTCTCGCTCTGCATCCATCTGGGAATCCGCAAAGCCATTGGATTGCCCAAAGCGTGTGGATTCATCAAAGCGAGAGCCATTTGTGATGCTGAACAGGGACTGCGACGCTGCAGAGGATTTCGTTGCGGTTGTTGTCGATTTCTTGGGTAGGGGTGGCAGGTAATCATTTGACATAATAGATGAGCCGAAGATGCTATCATTGTCATTGAGGTTCATGTGGCCCGACTTCGTGAAAAGGGAGCCGGAGCTCATGCGAGAGCTCCCAAAATCGGAAGGCCCGCCATGCGCCGCAAAGGAGTTGGATGCGGATGGTGGAGCCCCAGCCGGGGTGCTGGATAAACCGTCGAAAGGATCGCGGGATTTACCAGGCGTAGACGGCGGGCTAGACTGGAGGTGGAAATTCCAAGACATTGTGTGCTGATGGGGTGCGAGGACAGGGTCTTTAGGGAACGGTTACTGGGCGGGTGGATAGCGGAATTCACAGGAAAAACAGTTGTTAGAAAAGAGGTTATGATTTAATGGCCCCGATGCAGGGGTTATAGGCCGGCGAAGACGATGAACGATGGGCAAGAATGGATTAGAAGACGCGCAACAAGAGGTGGAGGGATTGTCAAGGCGCAACCAGCAAAATGGCGCCAAAGGAAACACTGAACATCGCCGACTTGCATGTTTCTTGCTCGTCGCTGGAGATGGAGCGAGACGCGCCGACCAAGGCGGTGAGGCCAAAAGTGACCGTCATGTGATAAGTCTGCCTCAGGTGTCTTCCACTCCGAGTCTATTCCCGAAATGGATGGCTCGTATTCGGCCATGACGATCTTCTATCTTCAAGGCTGTGAAGAACAGCCGTGTCCCAGTCTTCGAATCTGGATCCAATCAACTGTTTCAATAGCATGTCTGAAATGCACAGCCCAGACCCTGAGCATCCCACCTTGTCAGACCAACTAAGGGAGAGAGACCCTGAGATGCTTTCCATCATTGGCGCGTGGTGGAAACTCACGCCCAAAGCATCTAACGCCCATCAAGTATAAAGAGCCCATTTTCCGGTTGCCCTCTTGAAATATAATCCTTCGAGCTATGAGTTTCCCGGTATCACACCATCATGGCTTCTAATGCACCCTCGTTTCACTCTGATGCGTCCATCGAGTTTGACCCTGGCTCGGTGGACGCTAAGCTACCAAGTGATGATACTATCACCCGTCGCTACAAGATCTCCAATACAGCATGGCGGCACCATTACAACGTAAAACTTGCAGATGATCAACAAATATACAGGGTGCGCGTGTCCGAGTTTCGACCAAAGAAGCCAGACCTCACCTTCCATGCTGGGATGGATGACTCCGGTCCGATCGTGGCAGTCGCCAAGTTCCAACATTTTTCACGAGGTATTCACATTGGCCTAGGAGATCCTCAAGCCCCAAGCGAGATGGTGTGGGAGGATCTTACCGGCCAAAGCAAAAGCCACAGCAAATATCGCTGGGAAATGGAGGTCCCCACGAGCACTGGGCCACGGAGGCAGTCTTTCCTGTGGAAGCGGACACATCATGTCGGCCTCGAGGGTCACACTTGGACACGGCTCAGCAATCGCAACTATAAGTTAGTTGACGAGCAAAGCGGCAACATTCTGGCGATGTTCATGACCAATGTGGCTTCGTACAAGGAAAGTGGCATGCTCCAGCTCCACGTGGATCATGGGCAACAATTCGATCTTATGGTCCTTGCGACAGTCCTTTCCTTGTATGAGAAAGCGAGACGACGGCGACAGAACAGCTCTACCACTGGAGCATGAGTTGACTGTGGTTGTGGGGACTGGTCGGTCCCTGTGGGGGGGTGCAAGGGGCTATCCTAGGTTATCTCTTTTAACACACACTCTGAGATTTTGTGATCTTTTTCGAGATATCTTCGCTCTGGGGAATCGCTACCATCTCAATGTAATATCCATGAAATTGTACAGAAATTGTAGCTAGTTGGGAAATTGAATGGACTGTTCACTGGTAAACTTGCGGTTGATGACATAATGTAGTACAAAATGGCTTCTCCAGCGGGGCTTGACAAGAAATGCTTTCCCGACGGCGTGAAACCTGGACTTTTCAGATGAGAGACCGATGCAATGCTTAGTCAAGTCTGCACTCACTCAGGCACTCTCACCCTATGACTTATTCTTGAACTCTTCAGGAGTCAGGCGTGGCCAAAGGAAATGGCACTCCGACGCCCTCATCGCAAGTCACGACACGGCTGCCTCGAATGTAAGCAAAGACGAGTGAAATGCGACGAGCTGCGGCCGGTCTGCTCGAACTGCTCAAAACGCATGTCGTCTTGCAGGTATGACTCTGCGACTTCATTACTCTGGACCAACGATGAGTTGCGGCCTCGCCCTCGGCCGAACAAGTCAGGCTCTGAAGGGCCGCGGGAGTCCGAATCCACCTTTTCAACGACCGCCAATTCGCTCCGCATTCTGGGGAAATTGAACGGCGACGACGAGCCGCAATCAGTCGCGCGTCTCAACCTGAGCAACCTGGAGTTGATGATGCACTGGTGCAACTCAACCTACAAAGCACTTTCCCGGCACGGGATAACAGATGCTATCTGGCAGGCCCGTGTTCCTGAGGAGGCTTTATCCCACCCCTTTCTCATGCACGGCTTGTTGGCCCTGTCGGCGATCCACTTAGCGCGGACGAGAGATGAAGTCAAGCGCGCGGCCTACGTGAGCGTTGCCGTAGCGCATGAGAACCAGGCTCTGGCCTTCTTCCGCGAGCAGTTGAGCGACATCAACGCATCGAATGCCAAAGCCATGTTCGCTTTTGCTAGCGTTGTCGTGGTCTACACTTTTGGCTTTCTTCACCCCTCACATGCCCCCGGAACGGACGATCCGTGGGCGTGCATCAATGGCATCCTGCAGGTATTTACATTGACGCGCGGCGTACAACAGATTCTGAACGAGGCTACGTCGACGATACGAGATAGTGACTGGGGGGCCCTCTTTCAGCTGGATGACTACGATGATGTGCTTCCCGATGATGAGCGGTCCGCTTTGGACCGACTGCACGAGGTGAACCACGTCTGCAAAGGCCAGGATCCGGCTCATGACTCGACCACCTACGAGCATGCAATTGAGAATCTGGCAGACCTGATGGCGGCGGCTCATCAAGGTGTGACCTCTGTAAGGCAGGCCTGCCGGTGGGCGATTAGGCTCAAGGCCGAATTCGTACAGCTGCTTCAGGAACATCAGCCACTGGCGCTTATCATTGTGGCCTATTACTGCGCAATCCTTCATCGGCTTCGGGATATATGGTTTGTGGATGATTGGGGTATCAGGGTCCTCAAGGCTATATGGCAGGTTTTGGATGACCAATGGCGACCGTTGCTCGATCTACCCATGGTAGGGACCTTTGGGGATAATTCCCACTGAGCGATCGCCTAGCGAGCAACTTAGCAATTGGCATGAGCGAATCGCCAGAGCCTTGATTATTTAAACCTCTCTTCTACCTCTCAGGGCGTCGTCGAATCTAGTTGGTGTGAGTACAATAGTAGTGATTCTCCAATCGACAAATGGAACCTCACAAGGATCGGTCGAACCCCGCGGGTACACTGTACCCACGGAAGTGCTACTAGAGGCCCAATCTTTGGAAAGGTACGAGTGTGACATTTCAATCAATAATGAACCTTGATGCCCAGAGAGACGAAGCGACCTTCGCCAAAATCAGTTCTTTGCTGCCTATATCTCGGTTACTTCGTTTAGCTCGTATTCATATCCACATTGGGTAATAGCCCTGGTCTACTACTAAAGTACTGTCCTGTCTATTTATACCTCTACAATTTACTATCCGGCTCTCCATTTTCCAACACATACCTGTACCTCGCTCTCCCGGCATCCATATCTCTCAACGCGACGTTCACCTCTTCCATCGGCCGCTTCTCAATCCAAGGCAACACGTTCTTCTGCGCCGCCAACTCCAGCATGGCCCGGATATCCTCGCGCGAACCGATATTCGACCCGGCCAGCTTGATGCCCTTCTGAATGAACGACCAAGCCGGCAACTGGGGCAGAGGTTTCTCGGGGGCACCCACCTGGACGAACGTGCCCCCGACCCGCAGCAGCCTCAGATACCGCGCCAGCGGCATGTCATCCCCGTCCACTGTACAGATAATCAAGTCCAGGGTCCTCTCGTACTTCTTCGCCCAGCCCTTCTCCTCGCCCGTGGCGATGAACGCATCCGCGCCGAGCCCCTCGACCGCATCCTGCCTCTTGGCCGAGGACCGCGAGATGGCGACCACCCGCTCACAGCCCATGGCCTTCGCAAACAGCACCCCCAGGTGGCCCAGCCCACCGATGCCCACGACGCCGACGCGCTTCCCCGCGCCCGCGCCGTACTTCCTCAGCGGCGTGAAGACGGTCGCTCCCGCGCAGAGCAGCGGCGCCGCATGCGCCGAGGACAACCCCTCGGGGATCCGGAACACGAACTGGGCCGGCCCGCGCCAGGTGCGCGCGAACCCGCCCATGGTCTTGACGGCGGTCTTCTGCTGGAAGGTCGTCGAGTCCCAAAAGCGGTCGTTGTAGGTGCCGGTGATGCGCGGGCAGTAGTTCTCCTGGTTCGTGCTGCAGGCATCGCAGTCGGCGCGTAGGCACGCCAGGATCTGCGCGCCGACGCCCACGCGGTCGCCGATCTGGAAGGCCGAGTATGGCGGCGGGAGGGAGGGCACCGAGGCCCCCAGGCGCGTGATGGTGCCGACAATCTCGTGGCCCACGACGCAGGGGTAGTCGGACGGTCCCCAGCCCGAGCGGAGGGTGTGCACGTCCGTGCCGCAGATCCCGCAGTGGGTGACTTGGATTTCGAGGTCGGTGGGGTCGAAGGGTTTGGCTGTGAAGGTGGTGAAGGTGAGGGGCTCGGTGGGCGAATGCGAGACCCAGCCGTGGAATTGGTCGTCGGGTTGCGGCGGCATCTCGAGAGGGATTGGGTCGGAGACGCGGGGTTTACTTGGGGGAATTGGGGAGGGGGGTTCTGTGCGGAAAATAAAAGAGAATTCAAACACGATGAACAGCACCGCAGTCTTCTTTTGAATTGTTTTAAGAGGAGGGAACGTTCAATCACACACCGCGCAAGGATGAATTGCGGAGATGAAGCGGATTCCCGATGGGGCAAAAGAGCGGAGGGGCCGAGAATGCCGAGGTTCATCCCACCCCCACTCTCTAATGCGACAACTCGACCATCGAGTCTGATATTGCAAGCCTCACAATATACAGTCTGCGTTCCTAGTCTGTCTTTCTGGGTTGCTATACCCGCAGCATCGCTGACTCAAGAGCCATACAATAATGCTCAGGTCAATTGCTACTCCTCATGACAATCACGCTACGTCCCCCGCCGTACGCCGTATATAATGATGCAATAAACCCTCAAAGCACATTGACGACCATGCGGCCTGAAGGTGAAAGAGATAAGGCATGTTTTTCTCTTTGTGTCTGGAGGTTATCAAAGTTAAAAGCTATCTTTCAGCTGCTGCATGATGCGTAGGAGGAGATACAGTATCTAGAAATGAGACTGCTACTCATCAAACTTGGAATGTATTGCGATAGGTCAATATCCTTATGATAGCTGCCGTTCAAATCAATCTCTTCGGATTCAATTTGAAATGAAGTCTCTCGCTATCTGTCTCTCGTACTAATCCTGAACCAGGAACTCCAGTACTAAGCTCAGAACCAACGTGGAGACTATCTACAGTTTGGAAGTGGTCAAAATATGGATCCAAGGGTATAACAACCGATCCTACCACCTTCTCTTCAAACCCCCCTCTCCTTACACCATTTCTCCACCTCCTTGGCCAACTTTTCTCTCTGGTCCCTCACCATTCCCATCATCGGCTCGACCTGCTTCATATATGCCTCGGCAGCAAACCCGGTTTGATCATCCGACCCGACAGCCAAATGTCCTTCCTTCTGCGGCGCAAGGTAAGTATCATAGATCGAGATCATCAGGTCCATCACCGCGGATAACTGGTTGGGAAGCCACTACATATCGACCCAGAAGCGTGTTTAGTATATATCTCATGGGGCGAAAGACTGCCCTCAAGGGTGGGAAGAATAACTTACCGTGACGATAGGACTACCACCGGTAGCGGTAGGGTGTGGGGTGCGGCGGATGATATACTCTCGGGCAAAAAGCCAGTGTCTCCATCGGAAGCTCCGAACGTGGTTCAGAGTTTTAAGGAAGAGGATTGCGGTCTCGGTGTCCTGGACGGCGAAGTTGCGAGTGCCGACTTCTTCGGATTTGGAATTCATGTAAGCGAGGAATTCACGGTGGGGTAGGGGGCGGTAGGCACGGAACTCGTGCAGGATCTTGGTGAGCGGGGTGGAGGGCATGGGGATCTGGCAGAGGTGGTCGAGAAGAGGGATCTGTTTGTTGTGGATGGTCAGATCGGCGTCTAGAAGGGGTAGTCTTGAGACGAAATCTTACCATGCTGTCGTTCGCACCGCTCTCGCCGCGGAAGAATAGGGGCTGGTTGTCAAGAACTCCGTCGTAGATGACACCGTTCGGGAACATGGATTGAGAGGTGATTCCGAAGATGAAGACACGGAACGAGAGGTAGTCCTGGGGCTTGGAGTTGGCCCACATGTCTAAATGCGGATTGTTGGTGAGGAGGAGTCTTTGAGCAACAGGAGGGAATGGGGAACGCTTACCTTCCATCGAGGCTTCGATCTTCTCCATGGAAGCTAGAATCTCTCTAAATCCGTCGTTGACCACCGAACGATCACCCTGCTCGACGTTGTCGACCACCTTGAGTGCTCCGCTGATAAGGCCATTGGATTCTTTCACCATGTCCACGTGGGTTAAGATAAAGCCGGCTTCGGAGCTCTTGGGGTCCAGACCCTTCTCGAAGGCGCGGACAAGACGCAAGTTTGGATAGACCAGACCTTTAGAGGGGTCTGCGAGGGTGTAGTTAAATAGTGAGTATGCAGCAGCATAGGACATGAAAGGAGGAATGTTGAGGCTGGCATCAAATTAGTATAGACGGTCAAAGCTCACTAGATTAAGCGTCGACTCACATCTTGGCGCAATGATACATTGGACGAGCCACAGATTTGGGCAGAATATCCCGTCCGAGTCCATAACCCTGGTCGGGGTTTTTACACCAGTTCTCCCAGCATGGCTCAAGAAGATACGACGAGGCGAGGAAAGAGTAGTCACGGAATGCAGCGGTGATCATGTAGAGATCCGGTGCACCATCAGGCGTGACCAGCTTATCGATCTCCTCGGTCAGATCAGGAAGCTCGGCCAGAACAGCCGGGCCTAGCTCATATGTTGCAAGGAGACCTGGAGTACCATCCTTCTTAACAACAGGGAGACGCTCAAGCAGTGACATCAAAGGCTGGAAGACAGATGGGAGCTTGATGGGAGAGATAAGAAAGGGCAGGAAGCCGGTAGAGGTGGTGATAGTGAAGGGGTCCAAGGACCGAGGAAGGGTGGAAGGATCATCATGGATATGAGGGAAGCGATCCAAGGTACTGTTTGGGAGGGGAACCCTAGATGGAGACATGGTGAAGTTATCTATAGATAAGGGAATGAATAGAGGTATGATGGGATGCTGCGAGGCGGTGAGAGGGTGCGAGAAGATATGAGAGAGTCTAAGGTCTCGAGTAAAAGGATGAAGAGAGAGCAGAAGAGACAGAAAAGGAAGGAGAAGAATAGGAAGCAGCCAGGTGAATGTGGAAAAGGGAACCAAGTTACTGGGCAAGAAGAAAACACAGAAAGTTAAAACCTTGATGAACTCAGAGTTCTTGTGCCTAGGAATTGGGCGGGATTGCAGGCGATTCTTATAATGCTTTGAGGCCGGTATCAATTCCGGCCTCGACAGCGCCAGTACGAAACAGGTAGGGAAACTGCGTGGAGACCTTAGTCTCAATCACGATAACAAAGTAGCACTAGATCTGGGCATCTGAGAAGTATTATATGACAATTTGTACGAGTCTCTATGCCTATAAACTCTCCCCTGGGTCAATACATCAGTGTAGACGCCTGCTCGACGACTCTATACAAACTCTTGGCAGATCAGGGCACGCAGGGATCACGAGGACACACTATTCCTTTTCCAGCATTGTATACCAATGTGTTCAGCTGTCTATCCTCAGCTGTGGCTGGTGCGGGAGAACTGATACATTGCTACTGGCTGTTTCTAGCATATATCTGACTGTATCCTACACAATGTTCGCTCCAATTTGCCGGTTTGAAGGACGTGGAGTCCCAAACTCACAATCACCTACATCATGACCTTGACTATACTTCACCAATTGCCAAGGCTTCAGTCATGGGGTCCTCGCCGCCATTGGTCACATCAGCCGGATTTGGGCAGATTAGCCTTTCGTAGTTGCATGAGGCCGGAATTGAGCCGGCCTCCGGTTGTAGCCGGCCTTCTTTATATCAGCGGCCTATCTTTCGATTCATGGGGCATCTCGGAAGAACCACCAACCCGAGCAAAAATGGGTTCAATTTCTTCAAAGAACTGATAAGGACTAACTTATAGTTCGTGCTTCAACATATCATCCCTCTTCGTAATATATTGTCGTCTCGCAAACATTACCACACAGCCACCCATGCTTTCCGTCTGTCGCATAAGGTCACGGCCCAACGGCCAGGCTGCTCACCACCTACCGCGCCCATATCGATAGTTCTGCTGAGATAGCTTCACGTAGTCGTTTTCATCACTCATTCATGTCCTCCATAGCATTGATGCTATGTGAATCATAATCTAGCAACATGCTAGTTACATAGCAGCGTGAGCTTGCCATTTAGAGTGCCCTCAATTCTACTCATCAGCGTCTGTCTCCGCAAGGATAGGAGTGTATGTTCTTGTCTATTGTACATGGGTATATTTTATAGCCGGGAAGCTGTCATTCTGGTGAGGTTGAAAGCCATGGCTGAGATGTTGGATTAGAGATGATTTCTTCTATAATTGGCGAAAACATACCAACGCCCGAGCCTTCACGTCACACGCCGTCAACCAGCAGAGGAAGTGTTGCCTCAGGACCCTTGTCCTTGTCCTTGACTTCTTTGCGTTCCGCTCGGTTCGTCTAAGCTTGGTGAGACTTTTTGGAGTTTCCGGTATTCCTCTTCAAGAGCCCTTTGCATCTCGAAGTCAGCCTGTCGCTCCTGTCGAATGCGCTGTTTTTCCATGTCAAGTTCAACCGCCTTGTGCATTGACTAGAGGCCGAGTAATTGAGAAGTTAGCATCTTACTGGGTAAATGGGGGTCAAAGTATTAACGGACCGCCTTCTCTTGTTCTTGTGCCCAGTGCACAAAGTAGACAATTCCAGCTGTGCCTAGGCCTGTGGCGGCCAATGTCAATTTGGAAGCCCGAGACATGTCCGCTGGTAATGTATTGAATATTTAGAAATGTCGCAAAAGAAGAGGTGGCGAAACTCCCGATCAAGAGGCTAAGTCAATCATGATCCCAGTCTCGTGTCGGCGATAATCGACGATGGCGGTGTTTCGTGGCAGAATCCCCGACCGCCCACGGGGGTAATGCGTGGCGTCGGGGAGATCGGACGGCGTATCACAAGCTCCACAACTCCACCTTATCAAGATATCGCCTTCAACTCAAATCGTATCCCTTCAAGCATATTCTCGCGTCCCAGAGGACTTACTTACAAGATGGTGAGCGCTAGGAGGCGAGTCTGTTTTTGAAGGAAAGGCGCTAACGCTGTCCCCGATAGTCCGCTCAGAACTCCGCAGGCATTCAGACCCTCCTCGACGTAGGTCATTCCGACTCTGTTCCTACGAAGACATACAATTGACATCAGAATTAAGGCCGAGAGAGAGGCCCAGAAGATTGTCCAGCAAGGTAAAGCTCATCTATGCTACTACCGGATACCATGACTGTATGCTGACGTGTCGCATCTTACAGCTAGAGAATGTACTGTCCCGGCCCCTCAACCAATGTTACCGGCTCTCTCATTGACACGTTCTATTCAGATCGTACCAAGCGGATAAGAGACGCAAAGGCTGAAGCCCAGAAGGAGATCGAAGAGTATCGCAAGCAGAAGGAGGACGAATTCAAGAAGTTCGAGGCTGAGGTATTTATGGCATTACAGTGGCTCCTCGATCTAGGGGTAGCTCGCAATCGCTGTTCAAGAAACGAGCTAACGCTTTCGTGCTTGCTGTAGCACTCGAGCGGGTACAAGAAGGCTGAGGAGGATGCGAACAAAGAGGCAGAAGTCAAGCTCCAGGAGATCAAGGATGCCGGGAACGACAAGGGCAGCAAGGTGGTGGAGGATCTTATCCATGCACTCATCGACGTAAAGCCTGAGGCTTCGGAGAAAATCGTGGTCAAGGCATAGATCTGTTGTTTCCTGCAGCAGCGTGAGGGTTCATCAATTTTGGGTTCTTTATTTCCAGCCTGTGAATATTATTTAGCTGTTTGATCATACAACTGCTCATATGTACGGAGTGCATCCTTTCTAGATTGTCTGCAGCTAGTGGAGGGGTGGGCAATGTCCTTCAGTAATGTGGGGATGCCATGCCTGCTTGGTGCATGCGTGAGACCCCTTACCGTTGAGATCCTTTGCTTTCCATCTGACATTTGTCGAGGGAAAGGGGGTATCAAACAGGATTTATCCCATTAATAAAGGCAAGAGGTTGTTACAAGGAGTATTAACAGCTCTAGGGGATTTTCAGTACATGTTAATCACTCAAAATATATCTTGAGGTCCAGTGCACAGTATGCTCGGGCATATTCATGCCTCAGGCATGGAAAGACCCGAATAGGCATTTGTTGCGTCATAAGTTCCTCCTCGGCGCGAGGCCACCCGTGATGCTGGTTTGTATACTTTCGCTTTTCCTCCCAGATCCATTTGCATGGAGAGCACGCAGGGTATAATACAAAATGAGATCTGCTGTCGCTCAATTGCGCACAGTGAGAAGTCTCTCCCTTTGCCACAAGAGGACTGTCTTCCGGTACAACAATTTGAGGCGCTGTCGCAGCTCACGCGGGTTTCGTTCCTCTACGCATACAGCGTCCGATGTTCTTGATCCACGTTTGGAAGACCTGGGCAAAGTCATCAGAGATGAGTATGCTGCTATCAAAGATCAATATGGTGAGTCGGATGGCATTTAGTAGACCCAATCATGGCAGATCCTTACAGAGTTGTCAGCGTGTGGAAATTGACCTGATATTCACCAGATGCCCCGAAGCACCCTGTCGTGCTTGCGCATGGGCTTCTCGGGTTTGACACGCTTCGCCTTGCCGGCCCTTATCTCCCCGGTGTTCAATACTGGCGTGGGATCGAGGATGCACTATCGATGAAGGGGGTACAGGTCATCACTGCAACAGTACCTCCATCGGCGTCCATTGAAATGCGCGCCGAAGAATTGGCAAAAGACATCGTCGCCGGAGCACGTGGCAAGGAAGTGAATATCATCGCGTAGGCTCTCTATTTTCCAAGATTGACTTTATTTCTTTGATATCAGATCTAATATTGAACAGTCATAGTATGGTAAGCCTGGTCGCCCCAATCACCGTCATCGGAACTCTTTGTTTACATTGCTGTACAGGGGTAGGTAATTTGAATGCATCTAAACGTCCGTTACGATCATATCCTGATTGACGACGAAGAGGCCTTGATTCACGATATATGATTACACATCTCAGACCAACGGACTTCAAAATCAAATCCTTGACTACTATAGCCACGCCCCATAGAGGTATGTATGAGATAACAAAGTAATCATCTTACTAACTAGCTTGGCAGGCTCTGCAGTCGCAGACTATGTGCTCAAGCAGATTGGCGGTGTGTTGACTCACTGCCCCGGCAGAAGAAGAAGAAGCTGAAACTCATGACTCACAGATGACCGCTTGGCTCAGTTGTACTATGCGCTTGAGAGACTAGGAATAGATACAGGGGCATTCGCTCAACTGACCCGCGACTACATGCAAAACACCTTCAATCCTATTACTCCAGATGTGGAGGATGTTCGGTAGGTGGTCAGCCCTGTGAGTGGTGTCGCGAGACTGAGTTCTTGCAGGTATTTCTCCTATGGAGCATCGATGCAGCCAAGCTTCTGGTCTGTCTTCCGCCTATCGCATCGCCTCTTACAGCAGGTCGAAGGGTACAATGACGGACTTGTCAGCGTTGCGAGCAGCAAGTGGGGAGGAGAAGGGGGCTACAAGGGCACCCTAGAAGGGGTGAGCCACCTGGACCTGATCAACTGGACCAACCGATTAAAATGGTTGGCCGGTGAAATAACGGGCAACAGGTTAAGGTATGTTGAATGAGTTAGCGATGCGAAGATGGACTTCTTCTCTCGCTTTGCCTGTTCTTATGCTCCTGCTGGACATCGGCTGATGCTCTGCGTAGATTCAACGCAATTGCTTTTTATCTTGATATTGCAGGTACGACAAAGAGGCCCTGGCGTCACGCCACACCCAACCTTGTCGAACCATTGCGGAGAGTCTGACTAATGAGATCAATATTCTAGACATGCTTGCGAAGGAGGGTCTCTGATGATGGCGCGGTGCAGTAACCTCTGTTTGAAATCTTGGTGCCTAGAGTGCGTTGGGCTAGTTCTTTTTTGTTCTGTGATTCGACAGCATACCTATATTCCCAGCGATACCCCTTGAGGACACTGCTTTAGATTATAGGTGTGGAATGCGATACTTGTGACGTGCAGTGCCGTCTATGACAGATTGTAGACTCGTGTTCGATTGGCAGAGAGAAGACCAACAAAGGTGGCGGTGCACCCAGTCGGACTGGGCGGAGTGGCTGAGTCCCACCCACTGCACTCGGCTCGGCGCATCCAGACTCGGGCAGCCAGCCAAGCCAGCCCTGTGAGAACAATTACTTACTCGTCGACCCCACGGGAGCAGTTCTGCTTCCCCTGGGCTTAACGTCATATCCTGTAACGTTAAGTGACTGTAGTTCTGCCGAACTCCCGTGCTTCTTTTTTCTTCCCCCCCCCCCCCCCCCCCCCCCCCCCCCCCCCCCCCCACCCCCCCCCCCCCCCCCCCCACCCCCTCCTCCCCTTTGTCCATTATTATCTCTCCGCCTGCGTGGTTTTGATTATCTAGACGTATATGCAGCCAGTTCAACTGGTGCTTGCTCTTGTCTAGACTTTGCATCATTCATAAAAACGGTCTTGGTGAAGAGTGATTGTGCGTCTCAGGTGCCGGCCATCCTCATTCTCATCCGCACATATACGGCTTACGCACGGTTCGCCATGTCTGTAACAATCCACCTGGACCGGCCTCACAAGCACTTCACTAACCTCGACGTTCTCGTTGGGAAAGTGGTGCTCACCCTACCCTCCGAAGCTGCTATAGGAGGGATACAAGTGAAGCTTGAGGGCGAGAGTCGAACACGTCTTGCAGGTCCGCGATATCCGCATCATGAGCAGTCGGACAAAAAGCGGACAGAGATCGAGGTTCACAAGGTGCGTCACTCCACAGTTTCCCCAACCCCACCTTGTAGATCACTCACTGGCAAGGGCCAGGTGGAATGCCCCTCCCTATTCAAGCTGTTACTAAGAACCCTTACAGCTCCTGTATAAGGTTGCTACCGTCTTTCCCACCCCCGAAGTTTTCAACTCGAAGACCCCCGAAAGGGTCTATACGTTCGCCAAAGGGACCTACGAATATCCGTTCAAGTTCAAGGTAATTTCGAAATTGTTTTCTCTGCCATGTTCAGCGTAGACTGATTTCGGATCCTAGTTCCCGTTCAACAATGCCTGCAATTTCCAAAATAGCATGCTCACCAACCTCAACATCACCGGCCTCAAGGTGGAGGTGGCGAAGGATACTCATCGCCATGTGAAGAAAACGCTTCCACCGTCTCTCAGTGGGTTTCCCGGAATGGCCGATATCAAGTACTACGTGAAAGCCACGGTCATCCGTCCACAATTCTACAAGGAGAATATCAGAGGGGTATGTTTTCCCTCTTGTCCGCTGTGACCCCTTCTTGTCTCAATTGCATGAGACTAACGGCCGCTGTAAGATCACCAACCTGAATTTTCTACCAATCGAGCCCCCGCGAACAGGGAATCCAAGCGAAGAGACGTACGCCAGACGCCAACATCAATTCTCGGATCTCCCTCCCGTCTCCAAGAAGAAAGGTCTTTTTCAGAAAATGTCAAGCAGTTCTCTCCAAGAAAGCGCCAGCAACGGTCCTCGTGTGTCCGCAGATTTGAGATTACCCAACCCTTCGATACTCACCTGTAATGAACCTATACCGATGCGAATCATTGTCAAGAAATTGTCTGAATCATACGAAACCATCTTCTTGCAGATGTTACAAGTTGAACTAATTTCATATACACACATTATCGCCCATGACCTCAAGCGGACAGAGAGTGGCACCTGGGTCATGTTGAGCTGCAGCAACATGGCTATACCTCTAGGAAGAGGGGGAGACCCTGCTGAGACCGAATGGACCTTGGATGCTAACATGTGGAACCGCATACCGCTTCCCAGCACTGTAGCTCCATCATTTGAAACGTGCAATGTCTCCAGAACCTACGAACTTGAAGTTCGTGTGGGTCTCACGCATGGATCAGTCGGAAACATGAAAGTATGTTTGCCTCCTCAGCTCTTCATTTCTAGAGACGACTGCTCACTGCTAGTAGCCTCAGCTTATCGTACTTCCGTTGCGCATGCCTGTCAAAGTCTTCTCCGGCATTGCACCTCCACAAGCACTCTTGGAAGCTATAGCTGCAAATGGGAACGTTAAGCCGACTGTGTCCACCTCAACCCGACCTTCAGGTGATGGTCTGCCTCCACCAATGCCTCCTCGGCCCACCCGGCCACCCGCGCCTAGCAACCCAGAAGATGGCTACGACGATGCACCTCCGAGCTACGAAGACGCGATGGCTGATACTCTCAGCCCAATTGATGGCCCTCGTAGAGAGTATAACCCACCAAGCGCCTCCTCCGAAAGATCGTTTGAATCTGGCGCTGATGCAAGATCTCCAGTTGGAAAGGCACCTGAGGCATCGGCACTGTACGGCAATGAGGGGGCCAATTCCTCTGCGGAAACCCTCGATATGCTGCCTTCAACCCCTCCAGAGTCCCGGTCTGGATCACCCGTCTCTCTTGTTTCCCGCCAGCAAAGCGTACTCAAAATACACAAGGCCATTCCTCTAGAGGAGAGCCCTCCGCAATACCAGGCAACAGCGGACAGTCAACCCCAGACATCTAGCAGCCAGGCCGATCACAGACCATTCCGACCAGAGCACCGCACCATGAATCTGGGAGTACCTAATCGGAAGCCAGTTCCTCGTAGTCCAAATCGGGATGTCTAAGGTCCAGTGTGGCTCTACTCCCAACAAGAGTATCATGCTATCATGTCTCTTCAATCGATCTCGGGGTCATTCTTGACTCTTTGAAAATAACTTTTGAGCTCGCAGGATGAATTCAGTCCACTACGTATCTCTAATACTCAGCGATTACACTCTGTTTGCAGCTTCTCTGGTGCCAATTCTCTGAACGTGCAACCAACACATACTACCTGCTATATATTGGAAGCTATGCAATGCAAATACCCCCTATTTTTTACAAGCATAGATATGTATTTCTGTATAAAAGACTCAAAAATACAATTCTGTAAGACCAGTGTTGGTAGAGTACTAGTAGCAGTAGTACTGTTTGGTGTTGCGAACCGTGGGTGGCCGACTACGCGGACCAAAGAGGCTTAGCGGGAAACAGAAGCTTTGGCACTGCATCGGTCACCGTTCGGTCTTTCCTTCCCCGTGCTTTTCGTCGGTTTCCGCGCTGCACTCTCAACATTTCATCATGACTGTTTTCTCCTGTCAATAATATGTCCTTCTCTCCTGCGCGTACGGTTCTCTAAGTGTTCTTGACTTTGAATGGATAGACGATCCGTGCTCCATCTCAAAGGTGTTAATAGCAATTGAGCTCCTTACCCAAAACTGCTCAACCGAGCAACGCGCTGCGGCAATCATATCGAATCTAATTCATCTCAACCGCCTCAGCAAAGTCCTATACTAATGAGCTGCCCCTGGTCGCATTGATTTGGAAGTAGCAGCGGAATTCTCTAGCATTCCATTATGCGTCTCCACTTAACAATCCAGCGTCACGGCTTGCCCGTGACGCGCATTCTTTGGACGACGTCTCCTCACTCTCTATTCGGTCCCAATGCGTCGAATGGCTCGCCCATGATTCCCGCTGCTGCGTCTGCAATCACTTCGACGCGTTTACCTAATGCGCTATACTCAAATGGTGGATACACGTTTGCACAGCTGCTGGAAGATGTGAACGAGGTGATTCCGTTGGAGACGGAATCGGTCCAGTTTGACGAAGAGTGCAGTGGACAGTGGGGTCTTGAAGATTATGTGGTTGAAGTGGGTGGCTCAGAGTGCCTACATTTTATGGAGGTGGACGGCCTATTGCGCGACGGCGATGAGGTCCTGTATGTGCTATCCCATCCATGTTGACCCTCTCATGGCTTCAACTATGTAACCACTAACCGACGCGTCCTTACATGATAGAATCCGTGCGCTACAGATTGAAGATCTTCGGGCCAGGCGGCTTTCCGGTCGCCATCAGATCTCCGGAGATGGCAAACACCTCATCGATGGCGTTCCCTTCGGAAAGCCTTTCCTGAAAAGACCTACTTCGTCCAGGCCTGCAATCACGATTCCACCTAGGAAAAAACGACGGACTACAATCGCAGGGTGGGATTACGGGGTACGCTACGATGATGATGCGGATTGGGAACCACCCAAGCGGCTTCTTTCCAACGTGGAAGTCGATGCACTCAGGAACAGTGGTAATTCCGAAGGGGAAAAGGCGGAAGGGCATGGAACTACGTTTCAGGATGACTTCCAGGATTATCATGAACCTGAGGATGATGATGATGATGGAACAATCATCCGCCACCCCGTGGACCAGGAATCAGAGAGTGATTCTGACATGTCTGATACCCGAGAGGGCGAACTTGAGGAGGAGTTGAAGGCTCTCGCAGAGGATTCAGAAGCCCCTCCCATCACCAAACCTGAAGACCAGGTCAAGCAACAGACTGAGTCTGCGCCCCGTGCTCTCCGCCCCGGGCCTAGGACGCCCTCGACAACACCGAAGAGAGATGCACCTAAGGTTATTCAAAGTACCTCAACCCCGGCTGACTCACGGACGGATGCTAAGGTGGTTCAATTTGAGAACGAGAAGCCAGCCTTGAAGCCCGAAAGCATACTTGTGAGCAAGGCGAAGTCACCTTCCGTGAGTTCGGCTGGCTCTGTCGCAGACGACAGTGACAGCAGCTCACTCTCGACCGACTCTAGTGGTGTGAGTGACTCCAGCTCGGATCAAGACTCGTCTTCGGAATCAGGTCATTCGCTATCGGGCTCAGATGACTCAGATGATTCAAATGAGTCTGATGATTCAGATGATTCAGATGATGAGTCTACTTCGGAGTCTGATGATTCAAGCGCATCAGAATCGGAAGACGAGAATATTTCCGACTCAGACACTAGCGTTGAGGCCCCCATCAAAAATGCTCCGCCCGGAGCAGGATCGTTGCGGACCAAAAAGAGTAATCAACGTAACAAGATGCGTCGCCGACTGGCAAAGCTCAAAGAACTTGGTGCTCTACCCGCGCAAGCTGATTTCGCGGCCCTGCGGGAATGGGAGAATGTGCATGGGTGCGAGTATTATATCCCCGAAACCAAGCCTGAGCCCAAATCCGAAACCAAATCCGGAGCCAAAGCTGAAGTCAACTCTAAAACCCGAGGCGACAAGAAGGAGCAAGAACGCGCAGAATTTGAAGCAAGACGCCAGAAACTGCTCCAGGATCTGGCAGCTGGCGGCGTCGACGTGTCAGTCACTCCGGAGACGGAGAATGTGCCGCCCCATGATGAGAACAAGCGGAAAAGACGTTCTGCAAGGGACGTCTCTGTGAATGGTAACACAGACAGTGATTCATCTAAGAGGCGTACTTTGGATGTTGCTAGCTCTCGGCGAATGCTGTTTGGCTCTCTTGGAGTGAGAGCTCCGCGCAACAAGGAAGACGAAGATGCGACGCGGAGGAAGCTTGCTGCAAACATCACCCATATTCCATCTCGCAAGTCTGTAAGCCAAGACGCAGAGACTGGGCATGAAAGTGACTTGGAGCATAACTGGGAGGAAAGGTTGACCATCAGAGCTACCGAATGTATCTACAACGATATTGAGCTGACGGCGCCACCTTTCCCATTTGAGCAGCGCTGGGATCACGATGCCAGCAACATTATCAGGCAACGCAAAGGCCGGGGCAAGAAGAGGAAGCGGCGCCAACAGCTTCAAGTCTACGACGCGGGGGAGGAAGAATATGGCAATTGGGAGGATAGTTACTTTGACGGAGATGACCAGCTCAATTATGATGACACGGAGCAGCTTAATGGGGAGCACCAAGCAGAATATGAGGCTGAGGAGCCAGCTGAGGATCTGCCTGTCCTGCCCGCTAATCACCTCACCCTTCCAGATCTCTCCGAGGATCACCTACAGCGTGCGTCTGTAATTGCTTTCAAGCAATTGGACCTCTCTAAAGCCACAAACTGGCAGCCCACCGTGTCTGAGTATCGGGTGGCTGAGATACACGATGTTTACGAGGACAATATTCTCAAGATCAGGCTCGCCAAGCGTGACAGAAGGCAAATCGCCGATGTCGACCCGGATGAGGTGGGAAACGATAAACCATATTACACCGGATTTGAAATGCCTGGTCTCGAAGATGATGCGGCGGAGGACGATGGCTTCCGCGAGCTTTCCTTTGCCGACTTCATTGAACCCAAGCTTCTCCGAGCTGCGCCCGCTGCAGGAACTGGGGATGCTGAGAAACCCAGCATGTCAGTACATTAATTTCCTTCACTCCTCTGGCGTATTGAAGCGCTCACCCGACCAAGCTCCCACGCAGCCGAGGAGTCCACCACGCCGAAGATCACGACACCGGCTCGAATTGAGGCCACGGCCGCGCGCGATGGCGACGAAGATGGTCAGCGACCAGCCCCCGCTGCGGGAGATAAGCCGGCTGACTCGGGACCTAATAAGCCTATCCTCCAGGAGACCGTAAACTCCTCGAAGAGTCTTGCAGGCGATTCCAGCCCCGTTCTGTCCCCCCAGTTTCACGGATTCCAGTCCCCACCCCCAACCGGTTGCGCGAAAAAGGCCTCGGGCTCGGCATCCAACCTCATCGCCGACGCCGAACCAATCCCCGATGGCGGTGCTGACCGTCAACCCGACGTGCTTCTGCCTCCTGACAAGAACTCTCCCAATACTCTGGACTCCCCGCAGCGCCCTGACGGCGTCAACCTCGGTCGCGCTGCAGATGCGTCTAATGACGATCTCCAGATGATCAGTAGCCCGCTCAGTGTGCTGTCCTTCAATCAGCTGATGAACCGGTATTTCCCAGCCAAGCGGGAGAGGAGTGATACTCCACCTTCCAACCAGCAAGCCCAGGGAGAAGAGGCCCGCCCGTCCTCACGTTCGTCGACCAGTAGCATGGTTCCGAACCCGTTTTTTGAGATTGGCAGAGCTCGAGAAGAAGGTCAGCAGGAGCTCTCGTCGCAGCCATCGGAAGGCATTGGGGTTACTGCGGGTGATACCACACTAGATCTCCAATCTTTGGTGGGATCGTCTTCCACGCCACCGTCAGGCCAACGATCCGTGCAGAAGAATTCGAAGTGGAAGGACACGGAGGACTCATCCCTGATTAGTGTTGTTCCCGAGAGCATGATTCCACCGGTGGTGCCTCAACCCAACTCCCCAGGAACCCCAGGATCTGAGTCCATTGTGGTGGATCTGACACAGTCCAGCCCCCCGGTGTCGCCCGGGGGCAGTGACAGGGACTTCGGCCGATCGCAGCGGCTGCCGCAAGGACCTGGGTGGGTGCAGAAACACGTACCTCCCACGCAACGCCGTACCCGACAGTCGCTGGCCAGGCTGCGGGGGAAGTCGCGGGAGGGATTAGGCTTGGAGTCGAACCCATCGCGTTGAAGACGGGGAGAGCACGGTAATGAAGATGTGATGCAAGAGACAAGCAGATGGCCAGAGGGTGGTGCATTCATGCTTGAATGACAATGGAATGAAAGAGTAGAATAATGGGCGTCATGATTGGTTTTTTTTTCCCATACTTTCCCTTAAAATATGTACATACATACATACATATATACATACCTACCTACCTACCTACCTACCTACCTACCTACCTACCTACCTACATAAATACACCAGTGTGATACATATTCTAATGCTTGGTCCTTCTTCTCAAGACGAATGTTTGGCACAAGCTCGAGTGTATGAGGTAACCCTACAGTCGAGGCACTCAGGCACTCGCTCAGGCAACGCGACTGTGGGGAAGCTCCGAAGTCTGACAACGTCTAGGAGCTGATTGGCGGAGGAGTGGGGCATGGCTGGCGACGTCATCGAGCTGGGATTCCCAATAGGGAAAGCACGATGGATCGTGCACTGGCACTCACTGGCACTGCACTGGGCACTGCATGGATGGAGTGCAGGCCATCCGCCTTGATCGTTCCTTCCTTCCTCAGCTTCATCCGTCGGATTCTTTTTTCTGACGGAAGTTGAATTTCTTGTTGACCGGGCTTCAATTTCATCATTCTTCCGCCATCATCCGAGCTGGACCTGGTCGAATAACATTATCATCTCGATAGAATACAAGCAAGTCACAAATACATCAATGCTGCATCAACCTGCTTTTTTTACTCTAAACATTATAGTACTATAAATGTTCAAGTCAGTTGACAACTAACTTAATTTACTTCCCCTTCCCCTCCCCCTCCAATTAATCAATCATCATCACCCAATGCGTCTTCCCCTCCTTGTGGCTCGTTCTCCCACCATCACCTCCTCTTCCTCCTTCTCCATCCTCCGCCATACGAATCTAGCTCAACTTCCATCCACTGCTGCTCCTGCTCATCGCCGTTATTTGACGATCTTATCTTCCCCTTCTTCTTCTTCTTCTTCTTCTTCTTCATCTTCATCTTCTTCTCACCGTCCTACAACACTCTGTCGCTGCGGTTACCGTAACATCACTTCCTGTCGCTGCCACTGCTGTGCTCATTCTTCTCCAGCCTCTGCCCGCAATATTCCAGCTAATTCCCACCTGTGCTCCTCTTCTTCTCCTTTGACCGCTCCGCTTGTTCGCTCATTCTCAACCACTAGACCCGCCAAGATGGTCAAGCAATATAAGCTCAAGAACGTCTCGTCCTTCGCGGATGTCAAGGAACTGGACAAGGTTGAATGTGAGGTCGAAGGCATTGAGGAGGGCAAGGTGCTCCTGGTTCGTCATGATGGCCAGGTTCATGCTATGACCCCCAAATGTACCCATTACGGTGCACCCTTGAAACTCGGTGTGGTGGCCCCGGAGGGCCGCATCACTTGCCCCTGGCACGGAGGTAAGCTCGTTTGGCCCCCAGTGTCTGGACTCTCGTCATTAATCCTCACTCATAGCCTGCTTCAATGTCGTCACTGGTGATGTCGAGGATGCTCCGGCCCCGAATGCCCTCAAGAAATTCGAGGTCTTTGAACAGAATGGTGGAGTTTACATCAACGCAGAGGAGTCCGACATCAAGGCTGCTCAGCGGGATCCTGCAATGAAGTGTAAATCATCTGACTCGGAGAGGCTGGTCGTCGTTGGCGGGTATGTGATCTCCGATGCGAGTACAAAGACGGATACTAATGCAGGGTGCGAGCAACAGTGGAAGTGGTACTTTCGGTGTGGTCCAGGCGATCCGTGAACTGAAGTATACTGGTGCCGTGACTGTGATCAGTCGGGAACCCAATCTCATTATTGATCGGACCAAGCTGTCCAAGGCGTTGATCGCGGACCCCGAGAAGATTCAGTGGCGACCCGAGGAGTGGTACAAGGAGGCCTCCATTGAATTTGCCCACGATGACGTGACTGGTGTCGACTTCGCAAAGAAGACAGTTTCCACCAAGTCGGGCAAGTCGTACCCTTACACCAAACTAGTCCTGGCTACGGGAGGCGTGCCGCGCACGCTTCCCTTGGAAGGATTCAAGGATCTGGGTAACATCTTCGTGCTTCGCACTATTCCCGATGTGCAGGCTATTCACCAGGCGCTGGGCGAGCAGAAGAACAAAAAGGTTGTCGTCATCGGCAGCTCTTTCATTGGTATGGAGGTGGGCAACTGCCTCGCGAAAGAAAACGAAGTCACCATCGTCGGGATGGAGAAAGCCCCCATGGAGCGGGTTATGGGTGAACAGGTTGGCCGCATATTCCAAAAGAATCTGGAGAAAGCAGGTGTTAAGTTCAAGCTGGACGCGGGCGTCTCTAAAGCGACACCCTCGAGCTCTGACTCTAGCAAGGTTGGGGCGGTTCATCTCGATGATGGCACCGAGCTGCAAGCCGATCTGGTGATCCTCGGTGTTGGCGTGCGTCCCGCGACCGACTTCCTCAATGACAACCCAGCGATCACTCTCGAGAAGGATGGATCTATCAAGACGGACGAGCACTTCGCCGTCAAGGGACTGAACAACGACGTCTTTGCCATTGGCGATATCGCCACCTACCCATACCACGGACCCGGTGCTGACCAGGAGAATGGCAGCTACACCCGGATCGAGCACTGGAATGTAGCTCAGAACGCCGGTCGTGGCGTAGCCCGTGCCATCGTTCACAGCCTGAAAGCTGGGTCACTGCAGTCCCTGAAGCCTAAGGCATTCATTCCGATCTTCTGGAGTGCTCTGGGCGCTCAGTTGCGGTACTGCGGTAGCACAGTGAACGGGTGGAACGATTTGATCCTGCAGGGAGAGCCGGAGAACGGGAAATTCGCGGCCTACTACACCAAGGGAGAGACGGTAGTGGCCGTGGCGACGATGGGCATGGATCCGATCATGGTCAAGTGTGCGGAATTGATGCGGCGGAAGAATATGCCGACCAAGTCGCAGATCCAGGGTGGGGCGGACGTCTTGGCTGTCGATGTTCCTTCTTCAGTGAGAATTTAAAGATTGAATTTAGTACTCATAGTCAATAGTCTAATAATACCAGCTCTTGTACAAGGAGACAATTTATAGGAGGCTTGAGTAATGGCGATCTTTGAGATATGCTGGAACCCCTGCAACTCTGGTTAAGCCGGAGAACTAGTACTGTCGAAGATATATATCAATGTAGAGCGCATGGGGGGCATTCTCATACAACCAGAGGCCCCATTTGTCCATGCGATTTTGGCTATACCGAAGGGATTTCAAACCTGAAATCTACTGGACGACTAAGAAAATCCACCGACGGGCTTTGAGCCCTACACCGTTCCTCGAGTCACCTACCACCAACACACGATCCGCAGCAAGCGATTGATTCCAAACTGATCAGAAAAAAACGTAATTTTGATTCATCCATCTAACGCCGGGCAAGAGATACAGCAAAGGTGAGCATCAAGGCAAGCAGATGAAATGTATAACGTGAACAGAGAAAGCAAACAGAAAAAAAAACAGACCACAATATTAACATGATTCCATCTCTGGCCCGTTGGGAGCCAAAGGGAAGCGGTGCGCTTGCATATGGCGCTGAGCTCGGATTCGACTCCTTCGTTTTTTTTTCTACCACGAATTATGCTGCAGCCCCTCGTTGGATACACTCACTCACACACACACACACATGCAAAGGGGAAGCAAACGGGATGACAATCATTGAGTGAAGTCACCTAGTCCTTGGACTTCTTCTCCTTCTTCTCCTTCTTTTCCTTTTTAACGGAGGAGGAGGACTTGCTCTTCTTCTCCTTCTTGGGCTTGGTTTTTGTGGGTGTAGCAGCAGTATCTTCGGCCTTTTTGGCATCATCGTCGACGACGACGACGTCGTCGTCCCGGAGCTCATCCACCCGATCCGCGGGAGCGGCGCTGAGCGGGACGGTGAACGAGACCGAGGGCGGCGCGTCGACGCTCGCCTGGCGGCGCGGGGTGCCCATGACACTACCGCCCAGCCCGGTGGAGGGGATCCCGTTCCGCTCGTCCTCCAGCACCCGCGCTTCCTCCTCGGGACTGAGTATCGTGCCCTCGATGCTGATGAACCCCCGGTCCCGTTCCGAGCCCGGGATCACGTCGATGTCGACCACCCGGAACTTGATCGTGCCACGCACGCGGTGGCCCGACACCGACTGGAAGTAGCCCTCTGCCCCGTCATCGTCGTCTTCGTTGATATTGTTGAGGTCGTTGGTGGTGGAGATGTCCGGGTTCGAGTTGGAGGGGTTGAGCGGGTTGGCGTCGGAGGCGAGGGTGACGGGGCTGAAGTGTTCGAGTTCCGGGTCGAATTGGGGCTTGGGATCGGCTTCCGAGGTGTCCGAGTCGGAGTCGTCTGAGTTGGTGGTGGATGGGTTGGTTTCGTCGTTGGGGGTGTTCTTCGCGGTTGTGGTGGTGGTGGATTCGTCCTCGTGTTCGTCGCCTGGAGGAATCCACTTCCAGTTGGAGGGGAGGCGTTTCCGTTCGATACCCACGGAGAAGAGGTTCAGGGCGATCGCGCCCAGGAACCCCTCCGACTGTACGTTGACCCACCCCTCCAGGAGCTGACCACGCTGCGGGCGGAAGACCAGGAAGGTCGCCGTGAGGTAGACGTAGAGGACTCCGTATTCGCCGGCGGTGCGCGCCAGGGTGAGGGGTTGCGGGTGGTCTTCGGTGGCCGCGCCCACCGCGGCGGACTCCGGGCTGTTGGGCGGCGTGCTGGAGATCGTCACGTTGGAGTAGGCCAGCACGATACCCTCGAGCGGCGGGTAGTAGGTCAGGAGCAGCGGGGACAGGTGCTCCGCCATCAGTGAGGCCTGCGCGTGAGTCGGAGAGATGGAGATGGGCGATAGCGGGAGGTAGAGGGTTGCGGTGGTGAGGGTGTAGGGGGAACCTTCGGCAGGCGTAGTGATCGTGGACTTCTTTTGACTCTTGGTTGTTGACTTCTTGCTGCTGCTGCTGCTGCTGCTGCTTTTCTTCTCGCGTATGGGCATCGGGGTCGCTTTTTCGTCGGTGACCGTGTGCTTGCGCTTCTTCTTCGAGGGGGATGAAGTGTCCTTGTGCTTGCGTTTGCGCTCCTTCTCCGGCGAGCGATTCGCTGCCGGGGAGGCAACTTGTGAGTCGATCTCCATCGCGTCGATGGCCATTGTGACTGTTGAAAGCGCAATGGATGCGCTGCGTCGTAATCTGGGGAGTGCGGAGGACGGACTTTACGATGTCGAGAAACTTTTTTTTTTACCTTTTTTTTTTTCCTTCCCTCTCCGTTTTTCCTGTTCGGGGAGAATGATGTCGGGCGGTGGGTGGGGCGGTGAGAGATAAGCGCTGGAAGACAAGGGGAATGGATTACTTCCGTATTTCCCCAGTAAACATCGATTCACATGTGGCTGTAGCTGACATTAGATGGAGGAATAAGCGAGTTTTGTCTGTCAGTCAGTGGAATCTTGGTGGCTTTTCTCTCATGGCGTCGCTTCTGTCTTATATGGGATGGGCGGTCCTTCCAAATGTGAGTCCTCCAAGTTTCCCCGCGACACTGCGTCCCGCCAGGTGTCCCGTCAATCGGGGAGTGCTATACAGCACGCGCACGGCACCGATAATGCCAGGTATCGCTGACAGATCACCTTGACAGTATGCCACATCGATCGCCCAGAGTGTCTACTATGGACTTACCATTCGCGCTGGTGAACCTCGGCCCCAGCCCGGCACCCCTCGATACGCTCGGCATCGCCGTCGCATCTTTATCCTGGTCGTGACCAGCTACCTTCTCTATACGCTTTACGAGACCTTCCACCGGGTGCAAATCGCAGGCGATTTCTACAAGGCTCTTGGGGTCTCGCCCCTGGCCGACGAACGAACAATCAAGTCGCGCTTCCGCCGGCTGGCTGCCCAGCACCATCCGGACAAGATCGGAGCGGGCGACGGGCTGCGCTCCGACGGCTATTTCGTCTATCTGAAGCTGGCGCAAGACACGTTGTTGGATCCAGTTCGACGCTTTGCTTACGATCGGTTCGGACCGAGCATGCTCGAATGGGGAGAGAAGAAGACGATGCAGGAATTCATGTTTGCTGGGTTGCAGCGATCGGTCCCGCAGTACATCGGCGGTCTGGTGACCATCATGATTTTGCACTTCACCTGGTGGTCAGAATGGGGGCGCTATGTGGGTTTCCCCTGAAATACCTCGTCTTTGAAACACCCTCGTACTGACAAACCCCCCCGTCCAGTGGCGCTTTTTTACCTTTGCAGCTCTAATGATCCTCGAGTTGGCACTCATCACACATCCCAAGGCGTTGTTCTTTCCCGCATCCTACCTCCCGGATGCCGTGCAGGGACTATTCGGCGTCTCCTCGAAGAACTCCGGGTTCTATCTGCTGCCGTTCCAGATCCTGACGCTGGCCCAACGGGCCTCGGTGACGTTGCATATCTTCATCTCGCAGGTCACCCCCCCGGAGATCGGCCGACGTGCTTCGTCCAGCGCGGGGGAGCAATTGCATCCAAAGACCATGCAGCAGTTGGGACAGCTGCTGCAGTTGTCCCGGGCCACTGACGGCGAAGCGACTCAGCTACTGCAGCTGGGATTCGCACCGTTTAAGGGTGATCGTGAGGGCGTGGCCACGCTGCGCAAGGGAATGAAGGAAGGCTTGGTGCTGAGTAGCGTCAGAGCCAGTCCGGGGGTGCAGCAGGCTGTGGCGGAGGTGATCCAGCGGGAGAAGCAGGGGAAGGCAGATTGAATTTTGTATATGTGAGGGTTGCGAATCTATAACCTAATGCTCTTCGTAAGTCACGGACCACGTTGAGTTGTAACTATTATAAAGCGCGTCTGATTGTACGAACATCACAAGAGTTCTCACTATTTCGTGGCAATCCTGTCGTACGCGATCGGGAGGGGAATTGATTGGGGATGGAACGCATCTGGACCACTGCAGTTGCCATTGTCCATCGAATCCGGGTTGAGGTTCGGCCCCCATCGAATTCCAACCAGGCCAAGAGAAGCAAACTACTACAAATGCACGAGAATTCATCAACCATGAATTGGGGGGAATAAGCGGAAGGTGGTTAGATAAGCGTCAATGGGGTTCAGCTTCGTATACTCAAATCCAACCGTCAGGCGGGGATTAATTTACCCATCCATTGTCTCATCCTCATCATGGTGGTTGGATTTCGTGTTGAGAGGATCAGAGTGGACACGGGGATTAGTTACGAATACTAGAACACTAGAGATGGGGAGGGGAGGGGAGATGTGATGACATTCCGGAAGTGGCAAGCCGATCGGTAATGGTAATGGATGATGGTGGAAGAAGAAGAGTTTTTTTTTTTTCCCGTCATATTTTTTTCTTGGTTGGGATGAGGTATTTCTGGGCTGCCTCTCCTCTCACGCATCACTTGCATGGGGGAGGGTTCGATGACTACCGGTAGTAGTCTCGGTGTCCGTTCCGGCGTTGCCTCGGCGGTTGATCAGGCGTGATCACAGAGAGCAATTAGTACGTACTACGTGCAGGATGTGTGGGTGTGTGATGAGAGCGAGAGAGAAAGTAAGAAAGAGAGAGGAAAGAAGATGGTTAGAGCACGTATGTCACGGATGTGTGTGGATAGGCAACAGGTAATCCCAGAATTGGGTCATGATGTTGCTGCTACTGCTTGCTGCTGCTGCTGCTTGCTTCTTGACGATCACAAGCAGGATCTTATTCGTAACCAGACCCGTTCGACGCAAGCTGGGAGGGAGTGCACAAAAGTCTAACGCGGCCGAGGCGGGACGGACGATCCATATTTTCCCCTACGATAGTTGAAGGGCGAAAGAGACAAGACATGGTTGGAGTAAGAACTAAAAGAAGGGGTGGATTTTAATTTGGGATAAGAGACGGGGACCAGACCAGACCAGACGAGACGAGACGAGACGAGACAAGACAAGACCAAGACGACTATTATTCTATAACCATCCCATTTGTTTCTGGGTATAAATGTGGAATTGGGAGGAATAGGATGATGGGATGAATGGGATAGAGTGGTTTTCTGTGGAAAGGCCGAATTGATTCCCAACCAGAGGATAATCAATCACTTGACATGAATAGAGAGGAAAGAGAAGCCGAAGAAGCAAGCACCGCAAAGCACAGCAACGCAAAGTACCGGACTCGGAAGTAGAATACCACCACTGCACCACTTCTGCCCCCGGAAGATCCTGGAAGGGGGAAGAGACTGACTAAATAACTAACACTCTAACAAAGTAGTTATTTGAATTCAACTCATTGATCAGCTCAACCTCACCAATTCAGCTATCTCTAGTAGATACTCACAGACTCTACATACAGTAAGTAAGTTAGTACGATGAACTACTACATACAATACATAGTATGAAAGGAAAAGTACATACCTTATATATGCGTCCTCCGTATAGTCTGTGTATTGTGGTGGTTTCCGTACCGTCCCAGTCCATTCCTGGGTCCCATCCGATTAGGGGATCCGCGGTAACGAGGCGTATGAAGACCTCATCCCTTCGAGCTTCTCTCTCACTGACCGCACCAGAAAACTCGTTCCCTAGACGAGCAACACACAACATCCACCCAACCAACCACCACCGCAATGAAACTACCACACGGCGCCTCGACATCCCCATTCCCTTTCATCCCTCCCCCGTCCTTCCTTTCTTTCTTTCCTCTCCCCCCTTCCTCCCTCTCTTCCCATACTATATCCACGATCAACACCACCCACCACCGCCATCACCACTATTCTAGGCCTCACCACCAGACTATGTCACCGCGGCCTCACCCTGCCTGTCTCGATCAGCCCTGCCAGACTCTCGCCTCGCCTTGACCCAATCTCGCCGCCGTGTTTGACCCGATCCACGCCAACGTCCTTCTCTCCACCACCACCAACCCAACCTTACTCTCCGTCACCCACGTCACGATCACCGTTGAATTCCTCATTCACCCCCTTCCCCTTCCTAACAAACCTTCTTCGTCCGATCATTTGGGTCTTAAACTCCTCGTCGCCACTCAGCCTCAAGACGAACCTCGCCTCGGTTTCTTTCCTCTCTCCACCACCGTTCGGGTAGCCTCCTCACCCACTCTCCTCTCTGAAGGGACGAACACTCCCTTCTGAAATCACCTCCACTCCCCGGACCTATTCGACCACCAAGATACCGGCGGCCAGCGCTACTATGGCCACCACCACAACCGTTGCCACGAACGGTCGCTCCAGCCGGTCTGGAAGCTCGAAGAAGATGGTCGTACTCAAATTGTCACCCGATCTACTAAGTCAATTTGCGACACCACCCCCCGAGAGCAAGGAGTCGAAGAACAAGAAGCACATCGACACCCCAGCCGAGTCCCCGGTCAAGATCAAGGAGCCATCGTCCCCGGCTTCCTCATCGGCGGAACTACCCCCCCCGCCCTCCTCCGTGGACAATGCCTCCGATGCAGCATCTACGCCTGCTGCGGGCACCTCCGCTGCCGACACTCCCCGTCGCAAGGGCGTGCCGGGCCCTAAGCCGGGGAGCAAACGGGGCCTAGGCCAAACGGGTGAGACTTACCCGAGGCCGAGAGGCAAGCCCGGTCCTAAGAAGAAGCCTAGACTGTATGTGCTTGTTGCTCCTATTCTCTCAATGTGCATGTCTCACTAACACTGCTGGCCGTACAGTGACGACGGGACTGTCGACCATGCCAAGTTGGCTGCCAATCATAAGCTCGGCCCCAAGGCCAATCTCGGCGCAATCAATGCCGGTCTACGGGCGCTGGACCGTACCGGTGCTCCGTGTCGGAAATGGGAGCGCAAGCCCTTGCAGCTGAAAAGCTTCACAGGCATCCAATGGGCTCTGCCAACCTGGCGCGCTCCCAAACCCCCCAAGCCCGAGGAGAATGGCGAGGCCAAAGAGATGGCACTCGAAACGGGCGACAGTGACAGCAAGGCCAACCAAAGTGCCAGCGGCGTGCCCAGCGAAAAGAGCAACATGGGTGATGGAGATATCACCCCATTGCCTTCGAATATCCCTGACGCCTCCTCGCCGGCTCCTGCCATTGCTATGACTGCCTAGTCGCCTCATATCGCATTCTCACACCTACTTAATGCTTTTTCTTTCTTGTATATTATTTACCTTTGTCACTTTCTCTTTCATGTTGACTCCCATATACCGATTCAGCCCCCATCGCTTTTGATGGGGTACGTGACCGTTATTCGGTACTACCTCTTTTTTGTTTGCTGCCTTTGTTGCTGGGTTGGCGTTGGAACAATCTCGGCCAGGTCACCTCGGTGAACTGCCACACATGATGGTTATTTATCACTGCCTCGAGTGATTCTTCTGATTTAATGTTTCCTCGGTTTCTTGCTCTTTGTTTCCTTCTTTGTTATGTAACACTAGAATTATCGGGTACGGGAACGATCCCCCGTGCAGGGCATGGATGAGCTACTTATTGCAGCAGTTGGAAGCATGTACATTTGCACGGTATATGGATACTAGTTCATCAATCTGGGTGATCAGGATGATCTATCGGCTGGGTTTCTGTTTGTCATGAACATCATCTCATGAATGAAAATCGGCTTCGCTATCCATCGGCATTAATTGTTTTACCGAGTATTTGATTCTGTAAAGATATACATTGGGTCTGTTGTGATTGGTATTCAGATGCCAGCTGTTAGTGTGGAAGGGGACAGATGTGTAGAGGGTGCGATGGCATCACGGTTTGGGAAGTGACTACTAGAATGGCAACTATATGTAGATGAACATGTACTGTACTTCCCTTCGGGCTGGAAATACACACACGGTCTGCAACATCCAGTCATCAGGAGCATTGTGTTGGTAGGTAGACATGCAAGGGCAAAGCATTCTTTTCCTTTCTTGCCTTCCACTTGGCTGGTTCCTGTCAGATGTCATGGACATGCTGCCCCGGGATTGCACTTCTGTTTCCCCGCAGTATGTGTGTCTTGGTCAGGCCATCATCCCCTGTCATACTTCGAATGTGTTCCCTTCCCCTCCCTCCCTCCCTCCTTCTCTCTCGGTCCTTCGGTCTCTGTCTCTCTCGTCACGCGAGCTTCGACATGACCGCTTTCCCCCTGATCCTCGGATCCCCCTTCATCCTCTTCTTCCTCTCTACCAATTTCTTTCCTGTACGGGCTATGTGGACAAACTCTTATCGCGGTCTAGCTCAGCTGAACTTGGGCCCTGATCAGGTGTGAGCAAGCGAGGATTCCTCGTTTCTCCTCACTCGGTTCCTTTGAAACCCTCCGAGTATTTTGTGCTCTCTCAATCTGTACGTCGAACTTCTCCAACTCAGTCTACGGGTGGTAATTCTCCACAATCCGCCGGTTACGGACAACCTTCAGTCCAATCAGGTGGACCGCCGGACGAACAAGAAAAGAGATTATAGAACAAAAGAACAGGAGGGGAAAAAAAAGGCAAGGTCAAATTTACACAGAGAACATAGAGAGCACATTGTGGAGTCAGCGAATGGAGCAACGTGCGGGACATACTTCTGTGAGTGACTCTGAAACCCGAGTCAGTCAATGCTTTTGACTTTATGTATACAAGATTACAGTATGGACGTGTATTGACCAGTTGGGGGCTTTTGGTGTTTCCTTCCCACCCCCCACCCACCACTAAATTAACTAGTAGTCAGTTACTGAACAGGAATAATGACTGACGCATCGTTTCCCCCTTCCGGTGGAGCTCCTCGAGCTCCTCCTCTCTCGACTACTACAACTACTAACGTTACTACTACAACCACCACCACCACCCCATACACTCATCCTCCGAGTATTTCCTCTATCCCAC